GCTCTTTCCTCTATCTATTTACAAAATTTCAATCCAATCCTTCAAACATTTTGCCCGAAAAACAATAAAACGACCCTCAATGTAATTTTTTGGCAATTCGAACTTTCCCATAATGACATCAACACACATTCTGCCTCACAAGTTTGTTAATTTCAATCCGATCTTAACGTAATTATGCTTTTCTTGAAGCCAATTAAATTCTCTACAAATCCCCAGTGAATAATTTTAATTCAGCTTCGATAGTTTCGCAGCTGCAAAGCTTCAAAGTATTTTGACTACGATTTTTGTCAGGATGAGAAAGCAGAAGAAAATTTTAAAATTTTTCACCTATATTTCGATCTTTCCTCTATCTAATTACAAAATTTCAATACAATCCCTCAAACATTTTCCTCAAAAAAAGATAAAACCTGCCTCAATGTATTTTTTTGGAAATTTGAACTTTCCCAAAATGACACCAACACACATTTTGCCTCACAACTTTGCTAATTTTGATCTGATCTTAACGTAATTAACTTCTAATTGAAGCCAATTAAACCCTCTACAAATCTCCTTCGAATAATTTCAATCCAGCTCCATTATTTTTGCAGCTGCAAAGCTTCTAATTTTTTTTGACTACGATTTTTGTCAGGATGAGAAAGCAGAAGTAAATTTTAAGTTTCTTACCAACATTTTTCGATCTTTCCTCTATCTATTTGCAAAATTTCAATCCAATCCTTCAAACGTTTTGCCCAAACAACAATAAAACGACCCTCAATGTAATTTTTTGGAAATTCGAAGTTTCCCATAATGACATCAACACACATTCTGCCACACAAGTTTGTTAATTTCAATCCGATCTTAATGTAATTATGCTTTTCTTGAAGCCAATTAAATTCTCTACAAATCCCCAGTGAATAAATTTAATTCAGCTTCCATAGTTTTGCAGCTGCAAAGCTTCAAAGTATTTTGCCTACGATTTTTGTCAGGATGAGAAAGTAGAAGAAAATTGTAAAATTTTCCACCTAAATTTCGATCTCTCCTCTATCTAATTACAAAATTTCAATCCAATCCCGCAAACATTTTCCTCAAAAAATGATAAAACCTGCCTCAATGTAATTTTTTGTAAATTTGAACTTTCCCAAAATGACACCAACATACATTTTGCCTCACACCTTTGATAGTTTTGATCCGATCTTAACGTAATTAACTTCTAATTAAATCCAATTAAATCCTCTACAAATCTCCACTGAATAATTTCAATCCAGCTTCATTATTTTTGCAGTTGCAAAGCTTCAAAGTCTCTTGACTACGATTTTTGTCAGAATGAGAAAGCAGAAGGAAATTTCAAAATGTTTCACCTAAATTTCGACCTTTCCTCTATCCAATTGAAAAATTTCAATCCAATCTCTCAAAAAATTTTCTCAAAAAAAAAATAAAACCTGCCTCAATATAATTTTTTGGAAATTTCAACTTTCCCAAAATGGTACCAACACACATTTTGCGTCACAACTTTGTTAATTTTGATTCGATCTTAACGTAATTAACCTCTAATTAAAGCCAATTAAATCCTCTACAAATCTCCACAATAATTTCAATCCAGCTTCAATAGTTTTGCAGCTGCAAAGCTTTAAAGTCTTTGGGTACGATTTGTGTCAGGATGAGAAAGCAGAAGGAAATTTCAAAATGTTTCACCTAAATTTCGACCTTTCCTCTATCCAATTGAAAAATTTCAATCCAATCTCTCAAAAATTTTTCTCAAAAAAAAAATAAAACCTGCCTCGATATAATTTTTTGGAAATTTCAACTTTCCCAAAATGACACCAACACACATTTTGCGTCACAACTTTGTTAATTTTGATTCGATCTTAACGTAATTAACCTCTAATTAAAGCCAATTAAATCCTCTACAAATCTCCACAATAATTTCAATCCAGCTTCAATAGTTTTGCAGCTGCAAAGCTTTGGGTACGATTTGTGTCAGGATGAGAAAGCAGAAGTAAATTTTAAATTTTTTACCTGAATTTTTATTTTTCCTCTATCCAATTACGGAATTTCAATCCAATCCCTCAAACATTATCCCTGAAAAAAGAAAAAAAAAATATAACCTGCCTCAATGTAATTTTTTGGAAATTTGAACTTTCCCAAAATGACACCAACACACATTTTGCCTCACAACTTTGTTAATTTCGTTCCGATCTTAACGTAATTAACCTCTAATTAAAGCCAATTAAATCCCCTACAAATCTCCACTAAATAATTTCACTCCAGCTTCAATAGTTTCGCCGCTGCAAGGCTTCAAAGTTATTTCACCTAAATTTCGATCTTTCCTCTATCCAATTGCAAAATTTCAATCCAATCCCTCATACATTTTCCTCAACAAAAAAAAGAAAAAAATAAAACCTACCTCAATGTAATTTTTTGGAAATTGAACTTTTCCAAAATGACACCAACATACATTTTGCCTCACAACTCTGTTAATTTCAATCCGATCTTAATAGTCCAGGAGGCAGTGAAATTTTTTAGCACTTATTTTCCCAGTTGGTGTCTATTAAATAGTTTGTTCTCCTGGTGATACAAAGCAAGAATTTTTGAGTCTGGCTAAAATTTTCGGATGGGTTCACAAGATCAATGAAAAATACAAGTACGCTTATTTTCCCAGACATAAATATTTCACATTTACTACAATAGAACATAAAGTATATGAAAATATCAATTTGGCTTATCTCAGATAGTGAAAATGAGTCTGGCTGAAAATTTTCGGATCTTCAATTCTTCACTTGCCAGATATATTATCCATACTCACAGATTAGCCGGACTATTTTTTTTACGTAACTTCAGTATACTGTTCATTAGTAGACCTGTCACCATCACTAAGAAAAAAAAGGGCCGTGCATTGGTAACATTAAACGCATTTTGCGCTTCAACCCATCGAAAAACCCCCCTAAAAATATATGTATTTTGCTTAGAATTACTAACCCTACAATTCTATCCATGTTTTCTGACTGGGAAAATAAGTACCGAAAATCGTCACTGCCTCCTACACTATAATGTAATTAGGCTTTAATTAAACCAATTAAATTCTTTACAAATCTCCAATGAATAATTTGAATCCAGCTTCATTGGTTTTGCAGCTGCAAAGCTTCAAATTCTTTTGACTACAATTTTTGTCATGTCGTATATTCCCGTGACTCCGTTCCATTAGAAGGGTTAGTGCGCACTAAGTGTGTCTTTATCTACCAGCTTGTATGGGAACGAGATACCCTCATACCTATTGGAGTATGGGATCCCGATCATAGCCGAAGGCTATTGTGGCAGTCTGCAACTTGTATTTTAATATACTATTACAACCAGTGGCGCAGCCAGAAATTTTTTCTGGAGTGGGCTATGCAGAAAAAATTATAGGAGTTTACACAAAACACCTATCCTTTAGAGGGGGTGTAATGTAAACCGAAAATCAAAATTTCTGTATAACCAATTCTAAGAAAAATATTTCAAGTCGAACCATTTTATGCCTGATGGCTTTCGTGTTGAACTCAATTGTGTACATACACAAAAGCAGAATCTGTTGGGTTCCACACGCGAATGTGACGTCACGTCTACGTTTTGTTGCAAACACTAAATACTGATATCTTTGATAGAAATTTGACAGGAAGGCGAGGTTTTCTATGTTGTTCTTGGAGTTTTTTTACATATTATAAACCAGATACATATTTTTGGTTTACACCCCGTAAGCTTTCTATGATATGAGCAGTTGACAGCTTTTGTCTACTTCATTATTTTTCTATTTTTCTCTAAAGCCTTGGGCGGAGCCGGGCCCTCTGCCCACCCCCCCCTGGCTGCGCCACTGATTACAACCACTTATAAAACCCAAGAATTTGTTGTGAATTTCTTGGTTTCTAGAAAAGAAATCTTGATCTTGAAATAGGGAATCTCGTCGTGTCTTGAAAACCGTTTCAGATTTCTTGACTGTAAATTTTCTTGAATTCAAGTCAAGAACAAGAAATTTCTTGAAGATCGTCAAACCCTAATACTAATGATCCACTCACTGTCAAAATATGTCAACATTCTTCTCTATCGCAGTCAAAATCTTTCAAACCTGTTTTTTTTGTCAAACCCTTCTTAACAATCCCATAGGATACATTTCTTGAACGCAATTTCACCGAATATAACTTTTCCAAACCATCCACAATGAAATCTGGGTGATAACCGAGATCTTGTTCCATTACCCTTTTTTTGTTATTATTTCAACTTGTAGCGATTTAAAATTTCAAATATAAAAATAAAGTTTTATAATAGAAAATATATGACCTGAATCTTCATTATAAGATGGTTCAACTAATCGCTCGCTAGGACTGAGCGAAGGAGGAATTTGGTGGAAACAAAATTATGATTTTCAAGTTTTCCCAAAAACGTTGGTGTAATTGGGCAAGTCTAGTTTTCTTAATCCGAAGTTAAATTCGAACAACACGTTTAATACCTGCGGATTTTCGTGCCCACTATAATGCTACTACACACAATAAGATTTAATGACATAATATAGCAGCTCATTCCGTATATTGGACTACCGGAATGCAGAATAACAATTTGGTTTGGATTATTATGCCAAAACAATTGCATTGTGTACAATATGCGTACGAAAAATACGCTTAAATAATTATAGTTAACCGCGATACTCAAACATTTTGCTTCTTTGAGAGTTCTTTTGAGAGCCTCTCTTCTATGCTCTATTTTAATTATATTTCTTCGCATATTGCAAAATTTTATTATGTAAAAAAGCTTATGTATATTAATTTACTTGTAGTGCTAGATTACATTAGAAAATACACTTAGTAATTATGTTGAAATAAATGTATAACAAATTATTAAAAAAAACAAAAATAAGAACAAAGCATAGTTGAATTTTCCTTTAAGTTACCACAATAGAAGGTAAATTCAACCATTGATTTAATATTCTGAGCCGAAATGACAATCGTCTGCTTATTCGTTTCTTTTCTTAATAAATTATTTCTGTATTAATTTAGGTTTGCAAGTTGTATTGAAGTCCATCATCAAGGCGATGGCCCCATTGCTCCAAATAGGATTATTAGTTTTATTCGCCATTGTGATATTCGCTATTATTGGTCTAGAATTTTATTCGGGAGCCTTACACAGAACCTGTTATAGTTTATACGACATAGGTAAGTGCCATTTAAAGAAGTATATATCTATTATTTATTTTAAAATGTAAATTTTCCAGAGGAGATTGTTAAAGAAAACGAAGAAGAAGTGCCCTGTAATACTGATAATGAAACAGAAGCAAAATCTCAGGGCAGCAATTGGTGTAGGGATGGGAATAGTGTGTGTTTGGAACGATGGCAAGGTCCAAATAATGGAATTACTTCGTTTGATAATATTGGATTTGCCATGTTAACAGTTTTCCAGTGTATTACGATGGAAGGGTGGACAGCCATCTTGTATTGGGTGAGAGCTACCTACTGCTTAGTTTAACTTGATTTCTTATCAATTTTGTGAATTTTAGATGAATGATGCTGTTGGCAGCTACTACAACTGGATGTACTTCGTGCCTCTAATAGTTCTCGGTTCTTTTTTTATGTTAAATTTAGTTCTTGGTGTCCTCAGCGGGTGAGTAACTCACTTTCATCTAGAAATATTTTATAAAGAGTTTGTTATTAAATCTGTAGAGAATTTTCAAATGAAAGATTAAGAGTGGAAAGAAGGGCAACGTATCATAAAACACGTTCAAAAAATCAGTTTAATGAGGCTTTTGGAAGATATTTAGCTTGGATCACAGAAGCAGGTTTTGTTGAAAAAAAAAACATGTCGCTAGAAACTGGGTATTTATAATAGGCTAGCTATCATGTACTTCACTTCATGTTGCCAAAAGATATCAAGTAGAGTCAAATTGTGCCTTTTTCGTTGTGGATGTCAAAGCCCGTTGGAGAGTGTAGGGATTGTTCTGGGGAATCCAGAAAGTTTGGGTTAGCTTGGGTTAGTTAATTTAGAAAAACATTTTATTTGTAACTCATTTGTAGAACGTCACTTATCAAGTCGAGGCATAAAAAACGAAAATTCATTTTTTCTACTACCGTGCGTAAAGTGCTCACTTTACGCACGATTCAGAAGACGTAAAATTTCACTTCACGCACTAGTGCGTAAAGTAATTCACTTCACACAGTAGTGCGTAAAGTAATGTCAATGACAGTTGTCGTCACTGTGAATTTGGCATTTTTCTAGTAAATTACTTCACGCACTAGTGCGTAAAGTGAAAATTCTTCACGCACTAGTGCGTAAATTATTTGACCAAATTTATTTTTTTACGCATATTTGATTGGTAGTAGAAAAAATTTTGTATGCAATACGTGCGTAAAGCACCTTTTTTCACTCATAAGGCGAGTGCGACAATCACATGACACACTTTACACACTTGTTGCATAAATAGCTATTTTCCACAAACGTCAAAAAATTACGACTTTTTTAACATCGATTTTTTATGTTGAAGTTTGATTTAACAGACATCATTTTTTTGTTACTTTTTTGTCCGGCTGTGACGTGAAGTCAAATTTTGCCTTTTTCGTTGGGGATGTCAAAGCCCGTTGGAGAGTGTATAGGGAATGTTCTGGGGAATCCAGAAAGTTTGGGTTAGTTTGGGTTAGTCGGAAAAACATTTTATTTGTTACTCATTTGTAGAACGTCACGTATCAAGTCAAGACATTAACAACGAAAATTGACCTTTTCCGCAAACGTCAAAAAATCACGACTTTTTCAACCGCAATTCTTAAGGTTGAAGTTTGATTTCAAAGACGTTATTTTTTGTTATTTTTTTGTCCAGCTGTGACATGAACCTACCAAAAAGTGTACTTTTGATTCCATTGTTTGAACACCGTTTGCGGAAAAAATCGCATTTTTCGGAGCAAAGCACTTTTTGCGGCTCATCTAAAATTGTCTCTTTTACTCCTAATAGAACAATATATACAGTGTGTATCAGCTAAATGGAATAAATTCGATAATAAATAAATGGGGCACTTTTCGAAAAAACGCTCGAACACGTCAATTTTTTTTTTTTTGCTTGAGATTTTTTCACATCAATTTTTTTATACAGGGTGTTCCGAAAACAGCTGTACAGTTATTAACTTTAGTTTTTTTAATTGTAACCCCTGTATATTATGACATTTCTGGATTCTGCGGAAAATTCTAGATATATTTCATGTACAATGTCATATACCTATCTTTAACTGTTTCGGAAATATTGACAGTTGAAAATTGACTTTTTTGTATCTTGGACAGACTGTAAAACCTGAACGGTTAATTTTACAGCAAAACCGATCATACATTCTTATCTCAGTTTTTCATAAACTATCATTTGACACCAACTTTGAATTTAATCCATGATTAAAAATTTCGCTTAAATTATTAATCTTCGGTTAAATTCAAAGTTGCTGTCAAATAATAGCTTATGAAAATCTAGGATAGAAATGTGAAATCGGTTTTGCTGTAAAATCAACCGTTTAGCTTTTACAGTCTGTCAAAGATGCAAAAAAGTCAATTTTCAACTGTCAATATTTCCGAAACAGTTGAAGATAGGTATGTGACATTGTAAATGAAATATGTCTAGAATTTTCCGCAGAATCTAGAAGTGTCATAATATATAGGGGGGTACCATTAAAAAAACTAAAAATGATAACGGTATAGCTGTTTTCGGAACACCCTGTAAAAAAAATTTGGTGTGAAAAAATCTCAAGCAAAAAAACAAAATTGACGTGTTCGAGCGTTTTTTCGAAAAGTTTCCCATTTATTTATTATCGAATTTATTCCATTTAGCTGATACACACTGTATACTATACCGGGTGACAATGAAACTACTACCCACGGCGACATTTCTTAACGGCTCGAGATAGAAATATGCAATTCTGTATGTCGATAGGGTTGAAAATTTAGAACAATTTTAATATAAAAACAACTGAATGGCTTTTCCGGTTTCACCGGAAATGGCATTGACTTTCTTATTTTGAATGAAACACCCTGTATATTATCTTTTTTTAGACTCTCTGAACAGTTTTTAATAACTCTTATTTAAAATACTCTTCGACATACTCCATGTCAAAAATTGATAGTTTTTGAAATAGAGTGGCTCAAAAATCTGTCGCCTTTAGATGAGCACCAACAACGTGAAAATGGGTTATCAAATTTTCAATTTTGCAAGTGCCTATGAAGGTTGAATTTGTCATATTTGGATAAAGGATAAAAAAGTAGGATTGGGTAATGGAAGTTTCATTTCCATAAGTTGAACCATTTTCGTACAGGGTTCGATCAAAAACTGAAACATTAATTTTCAAAAAACGCGTTTTTCTTAACTTGCATTAATTCTTCTTTTCGATTATTTATCGGATACCTCTTTGAATAAGAAGCAAATAACCATGATTGTTTTTGTTCTGGCCTACTTAGTTTTTACGTAAGATACCAACAAATAGCAATTACGACATCTCTTTGAGCGGCTCTATTTCAAAAACTATCAATTTTTGACATGGGGTATGTTAGACAAAAGTTATTTAGAATTGTTCAGAGAGTCCAAAAAAAAGATAATATACAGGGTGTCCAATTTGAAATAATAAAGCTAAGGACATTTCCGGTGAAACCGGAAAAGACATTCAATTGTTTTTATATTAAAATTGATTACAATTTTCAACCCTATCAACAAACCGAGTAGCTTATTTCTATCTCGAGCCGTTAAGAAATGCCGCCATGGGTAGTAGTTTCATTGTCACCGGGTATACAAGCTACTGGATCTTACTGACTTGTAAAATTGACAGTTAAACTGTAAAAACTTTTTTCCTACGAGCGTGCGGAAAACGCGATTTCACGCACTGATTCATGTGCGGAAAGTACCATTTTTCCGCACTGCGTGCGTGAATTTTTTTTACCGCACGGCGTGCGCGAAAAAAGATTTTCACGCACGCTGTGCCCGAGAAAAGTTTTTCATGCACTGATTTTTATTTATTTTTTCAATTTATATCTTCATTTCATGCTTCTCAAAAATTTTAGATCTTTTCGAAATTCCTCCACCGTATTTTCTTTTCAAGAAAGCTATTAGGTTTTTGTACTGACCAATATCGACCTCTTTACTGAGTTGTATCCCATAAATAATTAATTCTACTTATAATAAAAATAATTGTTAATGTTCTGTTGTTAAAATCATTGCGTTACTAAACTTAAGAAAAAATCACATTTTTGGCCATTTCTCTTATCAATAGAGCCAAAAACAAAAACAAAAACAAAAAAAAAAACAATATGTCAATTTCCGCACGCTCCTAGGAAAAATGTTGTACCTAGCACGAGCGTAAAGTATCTTTTCCGCACTTACGGCTTGCTCGTACTCCGCTGGCGCGTCGTTCGTACAAACACTATTGCGTGCAGAAAAGTATAACTTTCCGCAATTGTTAGGTAAATTACTATTACCTACGAGCGTGCGGAAAGTGCACTTCACCGCACTTATTTGCAAATGGAAAGTAGCACTTTACCGCACACTATGCGGTAAAGTAGACTTTGGTATTTATGATTAAAAATCCTTTCTTTTTCAGAAAATGGATTTTAGATAATTTCTAAATCTAATCTAATTTCATTAATCAATCTGATTCATTACCTAATTAATATTATTATTGCCTTTTTTTGGAGATGTAGATGCTCATAGGTAAAATTTTGTACCTAACACATGTAGAAAGTGCCTTTACCGCCCTTAACGGCTTGACCGAACTCCGCTTCGCGTCGTTCGGTCAACTGCCGTTGCTTGCGGTAAAATATTACTTTCCGCATTTGTTAGGTAAATAACTATTACTAGTCAGTAGAGTAATTTATTTTTAAAAAATCAGTTTTATCACAAGAATAAATTGCTTGTGGGGACCTTCTGGGAGACTTTTCAACTGATAAACTGTTAGCTATGACTGCAGCTTCATAAATAATATCTTCCAGTAACTTATTTCTGGAAAAAAAAATTGCAAAATGCCAATCTTTCAGAAAACTTATTTATAACTAGAAACAACGACTTAAACTTAAGAAGTAATAGATGGCGCCGAGTAAGAAGTACCTACGTGTGTTTATCGTGTCGCAATAATGTCAATAAAAATCAGTATAGTATAAGATGTGTCGGTTCCTGTGGAGGTTACTTCCATGTGGGCTTTCGAAGAAACAATTTGCCGATTTGCTAAACAAATGGATCATAGGTGGAAATGTACAAATTGTAAATTTCAGAAAAGTGTGGTTAGTAGTGCCAGTGATCAGAGCATTGGTAGTGATTCCGATCGCTCCGATCCAACGAGCGGCGAAGAAGATAATTGTCAAGGCCGAAAGTCGAGTAGCATAATGAAAATCTCTTGGCCTTAACACCCGCGCGCCTATATCAGCTGTATCCTCCCAAGAAGACGCAGATTTCCCAACCTCAAAATCATGACAACAAAAACACAAACAAAATAAAAATAAGGAAATTGATGATTTATCAGGAAAAATAAATCCATCAAATGGGGATATAATGAAGTTCTTATAGGGCAGGTTTAGAAATGTTGAAGACTCTCTCACATTCTACGGCGAATCTCTCGAAGAACTTAAGCAGTCAGTTGCGAAACTTTCAAAAG